GAGGATGGGGGTGTTAAATCACACGGCTCTAAAATCATGTAGCAGCATGAGTGTTTGTGAGCTGGACATGGATAATGTATGAGCATTTACACCAAGCAGGTACAGACCATCAGACAGAGAGCAGAATCTCAACCACCACAGAGGCCAACAGGAAAACAAGCTGTGATTGTCTGTCAGCTTCGTTTTCATGTTAAAGCAAGCTGCCGTTCACATAAGAAGGTTTAGATCACTAATGTCCTTAACCTTAACATTTAAATCTCAAAACAATGTACGTTTCTGTGCAAACAGAGTCGACACATTCCCAGTTTGTTCTATTTTTAGAATGTATTTCAAACTAAAAATGCAATTTTAAACCAAACCATAAAAAATGAAGCAAACACGTATCTGTGCTAAGAAGCTTTTGCTCTCCTCCAAAAACAACTAGCTGTACATAAATTGCCAGGTCGACTCATTCAGGTCTGACTGCAGCCAGCAGTCTTAAATCAAACACTTCAATAAACGGTTTTTAAAACGATGGTTTCAGCTGAAAGTTCGACGCAGGACCAAAGTACGGCTAATGCAAAATAAGTGCATCCATGTGAAGGCTTACAGAGCTGCTGCAGATGTGTGACACGTTTTCTACCAATGAAGAAGAAAAATGAAGTTTCCCAAAAGTGACTCACCGCTAACTCCACTAACTCCACCCTCTGCACCGCGAGACAGACGGGGTTTAAGTGTCAAGCGGGTGGGTGAGCAATGAAGCCTTCTACTGCAGCGTTGTGGATTAACTGCAGGCCTTTCAGGGAGCTTTAAGGACAGCTGTAATTAACGCAGTAATAACAAATGCACGGACTGCTTTGGAGCATCAGTCTGCAGGAATTCATGATTTTAGCTTGTGCAGATCAGACGAGGCCGGCCTGTTTAAATGACACATCCTGGTCAAACATGACTCCGAGGTTTTCACAGTCATACTAGAGGCAAACATGATGCCAGAGTACATCTACAGTGAAGTGTAGGAGCAGTGGCAGTCTGATGCTGGGGGATGGTTGCTGATTAAGGGTCAGGGTGAGACTCCAACTTCGGGGAAACATGAACTCTGAGACTGTTAAAAGAAACATTTTTGCCTCAAGAGCTGGGATGGACTTACTGCTGATGAAGGTTGGCACAGTTAGCTCTTAGTTTCAGTTCGGTTAAGTTCACTTTGTTGATGCTTTTTTCCTTTTTGGTTAATGAGCCAGTTTAGTGTGAAAGCTAACATGCTGAGGGACACAGACTATCAAACACTGTAAAACTGCATTTGCAGAGTATTTGTGAGAAGCTTGTTAGCGTCTCTCCTGTCTTTGTCCAATGAATCAGTTTTGTGGCTGTTTTAAGCAGCAGTTTGTCACATTTCTGTTCTTGAAGGATCAAACATGGCGTTGAGATTTTCCTCCTCATATCTTGACCCGCAGGACTCCTGTGAGTGCATCAGCACAACTTGTCCCTTTTAAATTCAGTCCGTGTCTTTCTTTCTGATGGACATGAGACAGTGTGATAGATATTTACTGCAGTTTCATAAAGTTTGAAAATAATGTGCTTTAAAGCAACCGCGTTGTTGCATATGGTGAGGAGCTCGTACAGAAGATCGTTCTGCTGTTTTTAGCTTGTTTGAGTGTCAGAGACGGCTGGAGGCTGAGAAGCCTTTCATATTGTCAGGAACATGCTGTGCATTTATAACACTGACACGTGTTTGCAGTCCCATAACGATCTCACACACAGAGAAGACTGTTTTATTCAAGCCTTCCTAGCATCTGAATGTTTTGTGGACCTGACAGTTTAAGTTTACTTTAAGATGAAGTGTTGAGCTTCGCTCTGTAAAGGCACCGATCCACGGTGTGGTGAGGCTGCTCTTCCTCTGATGGAGGGAGAAGTTTCTGCTGGACTTTCTTGGTTTTGTCCGTGGTCTCTCTACTGTCCTCTTTCCTGTCTTCTCTTTAACCTCAAACCAAAACTGGTCAAGGTCAAAACGACTCATTTAAGTCTCGTTTTTCTCCCCACCGTGATAGAGAGCGCGGCGAATTGTACTTTGGTTACTTTCTGAAGTCCCTTGAAACAACGTTGTCATTAAACCCTGAGGACATGATGAAGCTGCATTGAGAGTTTGTATTCATTCATTGTGTTACACTCCTTTCTGCCCGGCGCAGCAGAGATGGTGCTGTTAATGATTCATAGTTAGGAGAACAGATCAAACAGCCACAGGCTTCAGAAACACAAATGTATGTGATTCCACTCAAGCTGTATTCTAATGTGTCCGACACAACAACGAATGTTGTAAATGTTGTGGGTGCGTGCATAGATTTACCAACAGTTACTGACAGGATACAAGCAGACGCTCGTTCACGCAGTCGTTGCCGTTCCCCTGCCGCCGTCACAGCCGCCTCTCGTAGCTCTCATCGGTTGCTATTTTTCGCTCGTCGTCAGTGCGTCAAACACCTTCTACCTCTAACACCAGTAAAAATAAAACGTGTTTCTGTCAGCTGAGAAGTGAATTAATTAACAGTGAATGTGAAATATAAGCTGAATATTTTACTCCATGTCACACACAGATTTGTCTAATGTTCTAACTTCATACACTGAGGACTGTTGGGTAGGAACTCCTAACCTTTGATAGAAATTAAAAAAACTCAGTTAATTTTTAATGCATTTACCACACAGCAGGGAAGCAGATCAGTATTTTACTGAGGCATGAACTCTACTGAAGTTAGTGATCCCCTGACTTTTCCTTCAGGGCTACCAGCGAGTCTCCCCGTCAGTGTCTGTGTTTGTTCACTGGCAGAGCCGAGCGGAGGTTCGAAGAGTTTCCAGCCCCACAGACCTGCTGATGAGTCTTATTGATAATCCAAGACAGTGCAGAGCACTGACGTTAGTCAGCTGCACTGATTGTCACTGTAACTTGTGAGAAAGGAAATGAAATCAGTGCTGATTATGGCTGGACGAGAGCCACAACCTGCCTGGTGCCTGGTGAATGAGCTCCACATCCTGGTGTCTGTTACGGAGACGCTGCTCTATAAAAGCAGTCAGGTCTTCTTTGGCTCACCGTGTTCTCACGTCGAAGCTACAAAACTTTACATTGCAGTTGGAACAATGTAGCAACTTTCACATGTTGACAGTTGAACATAATTGAACGATTCTGCTTTGTTTACATTTTCACAGAGATGCTTTGTGATTACCCTCCAACAGTGACACACGCACTTTATTCCTGGCAGATAGTTGATGCGCTTTAACCCACGAGGCAGTAAAGCAGCTCCACGTTCTTCTTTCCAGATGATTTTTGAGGAAATGTAATAAAATGTGTTTGTGACGGGATTAAACAAGCAGTTTAAAAAGGCCGGCTTGGACCATGTTCCATCATTAGCAGAAACGTGAGTCATTAAAAGTGTGTAACGCTGACTTGACTGAAGATATCACAGAAACTTTGTTGTGGGAGAGGCAAACAACATTTCACATCAACACATTTCTGTGTTATCACATTCCTTCTCTCCACCGGCCTGTTTGGCTTATTAGTGCTTGTCAGAAGCAGCGTTTGGACAGAAACAAAGCCTCAGCCCCCCCTCTCCCCCAGCTGGGGTGGAAGAAGCTGTTCTGGATGCACTGACTTGTTGTTAATGTGCAAGCTGTGATGAGCTGACATTTGCCATTGACAGCTTTGTTCCGCATGAGTGTGCTGTGTCTGCTCACGTCACACTGTCAACAGAGTTGCACTGATTTCTGGCTAAATGCAGTCACAGCATTGCGCGCCTCCCCCGGGCATCACAGAAGCCATTTCCTCTGTGAAGGTGCGCTAAAGCTGGCAAGCACACAAAGAGGAGAGCGTTGCATGGTCTTCCTGCAGAAAGCTGCTCCCATCTCTGCTTTACTCCTGCAAATCCCGTCTTCAGCTTTGGGATTTACAGGCTGGATAAACTCTCGGGCCAGGTCCACCAGTCTCTCCTCAAACGCTCATCTAAATGCGACTCAGGTTTCACATCAATTTACTCCGTTACTTTTTTCTTCTCTGAAATTCTCCTTAAGCGGCTTTGAAGAAAAAAGCCACTGTGATTGGTTGTGTCCAGGTTTCATCGAGTGTTGAGTTGTTAATACTTACGAAGACAGCATAATTGGGATAAAACATTCCCTTTGTGCATTAGTTTCAGCTCTCCCGTTATAGATCAAGCCTTCTCGTTTACAGTGTCGCACGCCGGCTCTTCTCTAAAAGTCACAGTTTAGTTTAACTTGAGCCCAGCTGATGGAAGGAGAGCCAACAAGATTTATCACGAAGGAGCAAAAGTTTTAAAAGCTATTTGGAGGTGAGATTGTGGGCACGTCAGGCTAACTGATGTTGTCAGTTGGTTGCTGGCTGCAGCTCTGCATCGCCCTGCCTGTGGAAACCGTTCAGGTCCTCAAAGGGTGCCAGGCCAGTGCTGCATAAGCCTCGTGTTGCTCCTTTCTGCACCCACAGACATCTAAAGCTGGGGGCCTGCAGGGACCAGCAGGGGCCCTCGGCAGACGAGCTTCATGACCACAGATCCTCCCCAGTCTGAGGCGTCTTCTTTCCCACAGATTACAGTATCGATATCGCTGATTACATGTGCTGTCATAATTAAGCAGCTCTGGTGTGAATGTGCAGCAAAATGCACAAATGTCATATAGATAAAGCAGAAAGTATAACTGATTAATAAAATATCACCTGTTTCACGCACACAGTGTAGACAGCAGTTATTAACGAGCAGTGAAATTCTGACAGCCCCATGCTGGACGAGAAAAGTGTGTCGCTGTGTCAGCACATGAGTTATTCATGCTGTTCGTCTGAATACAGATAAAACGGTCACAGTGAAAAGCCTGAATTTCAGCAAAAACTAAGGAAAGTTTTGGAGATAAAACCGTCTGTGACGTCTGTACAGGACGAGCTGTTTCAGTGGGACAAAAGCTGCTGCAGAGAAACAAACGTTTGTCTTGGCCTGCACGCACCGCTGATGCCGGTGTCTGTCTTCTCTCTTCAACAGTGAGCTTCCTGGACTGCGGCGGGGGGAAAGTCTGGTTCCAGGTTGAAGATAAACATGATTTCAGTGTGAATGAGGACGGTGGGGTCTACGCCCTGCACCACCTAAACCTGCTGGGAAAGGAGAAGGCTGTGCTGGTCTACGCCCATGACCTGCACACGAAACAGGTCTGGAAGGCCAGAATTCATCTCCGTGTTCATCCGAGCAACAGCACTCAAACGGAGGTAAAAGCATTCAAAGGCCTTTTTAAAACTTTACAGTTTTCATGTTTTTGATATTCTCATATTTGTCTTATGTTTTGATAAGAGACCGAAACAGGCCGACTCATCTGACTGTACAGACTCATGAGGAACGCTGTTAGCCAGTTATGAAGACGGGAGCTGTCCATAAAGGACAAGACTATTTTTATACCAGGCTGTAAACATGTACACATGGGGCCTGACTCACGCTTGGAGCCCGTCTGTGCCAGCGTGTCACCCACAGATGAATTAGGTCTAATTAAACCAGGTAAACAAAATGTTTAGGAAGCCAATAAAGGAGAAGCTCTGCTAACTGTGCAGATAATTGGTCCAGCATCACCATGACCAAGCCGAGGCAGCCCAACAGCAAAGCAATGACATGCATGCGCCTCAGCGCCAATCATCATATTAAATATACCACGTGTTTGAAGCTCGATGATCTAAGTGTATCACAGCAGGCTGACAGTCGAATCTCTAGTTTTGATTCTTTTATTGAATAGTTTGAAAGTTCTTCATCTACACAGGCAGAAAAGCAGAATCGCAGTCCCTTTTTGAATAGTAATGACTTAATTAACACATTCAGAACTCGACAGTGTTAACACATACCTGTATGCACGTCTGAGGAAGCCAGTATGTGAGAGAAATCTCCCCCCTGCTTCAGCATGAACACATATAAAATCACAGCTTCTGCAGCCCAGCAGGCATCTGAGGTTGGCCAAGTGCTGATTGCAGAGACAAAGCAAGTCAAACAGCCATCTGTTAGTTTGTTTCATGTACAACAGTGATAATAAGGCCCTCTGCATGTATTTAGACAAGGCAGCAGCTTTGATTGGCTGTTCTTATAAACAGGGCCCAGAAATAGCTGGCTGCCATATGCTTTAGCTGCTATCAGAATCACTCGCTGCAGTCGGCGAGGAGGAGAATCGCAGAGGGTGAAAGAAGCTGTCAACAATCCTTCGTAAGGAAGACTCATGAGGACGAGCCATCGCAGCTAACAGCCAGTCATTTGCCAGCAGTGTCAGCATCGAGGCCTTCAGCTGAGAGGCAGGACCGGGGTTGTTATCCAATGGAAGTGTGGAGTGAGACAAACAGGCGTCACATTTGCAGCTCGCCAGGCTCCACATGGCTGCAAATCGAGCCTTTGACCTTTGCTTGTTTTGGAAAAGTTAGACATCGCCGTGTTTAGTAATCCCTGCAACGTTACAGTAGATGTCAGAATAATCAGAGACTTAACAGGGAACGGTACTCTGTGCTGTCCACAGAGTCAGCTGTCCGACTAAGAAGGATAAGCAGCCGTATTCATTCCGGTCAGCTGACAGAGTCGAAGACGAAGTTGTGAATCGGCAGACGGGGAGGGGGGGTTACTCATCAGCATCCCTTCTTCTGTTGCTTCACCTGGAAACCTCTGCTGAATGATCATAGAAAGATAAACCTACATCAAATATCACAGCGGTGAAAATGATGCAGAGGAACAAATTATAGAGTGACGTGTTATACAGATCTGCTCAGACAGTGGCAGACTCACACGAAGCCCGAAGAACAGCAACTACATAAGTATCATATAAATATGCTGAATTGCACCAGTGTAGTTACAGCGTGGACTCTGAGCAGAGCACCACCCGTCCTGCTACCGTGCACCTCTCTGCCACCAGCGTCACACAGGAGGCTGTGACGGCGTGATGTCGCTGGGCGAGTGGTTGGTGAGGTTAGCCATGAATGATGCTGAGGAAGAGTGAGCAGGAACGTGGAAGATGAAGAACTGACAGGCACACAGTTGGCTGTCACACACTCACACACACATATATAAGAGTAAGAACAAAAATGCTAAAACTAGAGGACACGTTGACCACTAAAGCTGATGAACGCTCTGCCTGAGATGAGCCAGCCTCCATAATGTTGCACGTATCCATCGAACGAGTCACACGTCCTCTCTGAAGCTCTGTTTCATTTATTTTCATTTCCACGTCTTCTCCTTTCATATTTTTGATCATTGCTAAGAAATGAGAGTTTTTAACTCCACACATATCAAATCGTTGTTTTATAAAGCAGACCTCTGTGTGAGAGTGCATGTTGCTCCTACACAAGCTGGTTTCTAATGAGAAGAGAAATAAGAAGAAAGTATGAACTCAAACAATAAGCGTGCTCCAGATCACTTTGAATCGTTTATGCAGGCCTGGCGTTTTTTGCACTGATGCCAAATCAATCGTGTTTGCTATAAAAATGAAATAAAATGTTGGAAACACAGAAGAGTACATCTGCTTCCTCTGCGACCTCAGATGACTCTTTGCTGGCTGGAAATGACGCTTCTGTTCAGTCAGTGCTGCTAGTGATATATGAACATAATTTATTGTGCAGTGTATCATATAAATCCATTGTACTGTATGCCAGAGTATTCTTGGTATAACATTTAATTGAATCGGGTCCTGCAGAGAGTAGCCCTCCCCATCTCCAAGGTCAGGGGCTGCACGGCTCCTGTGCAGGTGCATTGTGGGAGAGTAAATGAGAGGCTCCTTCTTTTTTTCTTATCGTCGTCTGTGAGGCCTGCAGTGTCACTGCAGATCTGTGGCTGCAGAGGACACACACACACACGCCCACACATGCTGACAGGTGGTGGTCATTTATCAGGCAGACTATAATGAGAGCATTAATCCAAGCCACTGGAATGAGGTCAGAAATACCCTGAGTCACCGAGCCGTCCCTGCGCTCTGTGTGTGTGTAACCCTGAGCTGAATATACACGATGCTTGTTTACTGTCTCTGCAGGTAAAGCTCGGTGATGCAACACTGACTCAGCAGGTACCAGAGATCTTGTTTCCATGGCGCAGCGTGGTTGTCAGAGGCGATGGTACTCTGAGGCGGGTGAAGAGGGACTGGGTCATTCCGCCTATCAACGTTCCCGAGAACTCACGAGGACAGTTCCCTGAGGACCTAGTCAGAGTAAGACACACACACAGACACACACAACAAGGCCTGTCTTACTGTGGCTGTGAGGACTGAAGAGAAGGAAGAAAACAGGGAAAACAAACAGGAAAATAAAGCAAAGAGCAAAATGTCTGGAAAAGATAATCAAATGTGACCCAAATGGACAGCACGACAAAATAAAGCCAATGAAATACCCAGGAAACAGGATCCTCGTTAGCCTGTTTCAACAATGAGCTAATGCAGTCTGACAGAGTGCTATAGCAGCTATGCACCAGCATACTGCGTATAAGAGATGGATGTAGTGATTAGTCTTTGATGTCCATAATGATATGACGATGATATTTAGTGTATGATGCTATCAGCCAAGCCTAGCCTGCTTGGTTAGCAGCCATAAATGTGCAGCTGCATCTCAGAGCAGTGTTTCCCACGAGTGTTAGTGTTTGTGGTCCAGAGGAGGGACACAGACAAGAACATGACTGACATTAACAAGTTTATCCTCTGAAAATATTTTATTTTCCAAAAGCTTTGTGAGATATACCTAAAGAATAAACCAGCTAGCTCTCAATGAGCCTCATATCCTGTGGTTTAACTTCAGCTTCACTAATGAGCTCAGCTGTCCTCGGACTCCTGTCTGCCACCAAGCAGCTGACGCAGCACCAGCATAGCTGCAGCCAGTCGGACACTCGACACAGGAAGCGGCTAGCTGGTTAGCAGCAACTGAGCTGAACAAGAGGAAGGATTGTAAACTAGTAAATCCAACTAAGCACACATATGCCTACAGATAGACAGATGCCTGCTAGGAGATCACACACTGGAAACACTGCTGCACAGACTGAATAGTCAGTACCATCAGCCATGCAGCAAACTGTAATATTTCTCACATAATTGCATTTAAATATGCAAAAAGCAGCAGCAGCAGCTTCAGTTAAGTGACTGACACTACATGACATTAGCTGAGGTGTGGACTGTGATGGCAGCCATCTGTCACAGCAGCCCCAAAAACATCAGCTTTCAGGTGGATCGTAGAGAACTTTACCATTAATTCACAAACGTACCAAATATGTTCATGAACTTTGTCTTAAAAGGTAAAAGTTGGTCTCAAACAGAGTATTTTAACAAGAGTCTGTGTGGAATCACTGGATTGTGAGTCAACCTCAACTGGTCCAGAACAAGAAATCATTTCTCTTCATTTCTCAGCCCCGAATGCTGCAGCGTGCCCTGAAACAAGGCCATGTTGGATTTACTGGATTCAGTGGACACTGGATGCACACAAATGTTTTGCTTTGGCAGAAACTTAAACAAATGAGTTAAATCAACACAACGTATTCATATTCAATAAACCTGTGTGTTTGTGTTCTGAAAACGCGATTGAAACAAGTTTAGATGAAGTAAGTTGAACTCTTGTTTTAATCCTTCATAATTTTGTCATTTTATTTCAACACTATTCAGTAACTTTTACCCCAGTACTACTTGGTCACTTAAATACCACATGTTGTCTTCATATTACATAATGTTCAGCAAAGTCTGGTTAACATAAAAGTTGAAGGGATCTACAACAACTACTGTCCTCCTGTCTGTAGCCTGGTTGCAGGGGCGTAACCCTAGAGCGATAGGTTACACCCTGGACAGCTCACCAGTCTTTCACATAGAGACAAACATCTATTTGCGCCAGATTGTGGATTCGAACCCAGGACCTGCTTACTGTGAGGCAACAGCACGAACCACCACGCCACCAATCCTGGCTTATCTAAAATGGAAAGCTATGATTTCAAGGCCACGTTTTTGTCCTTGACAGGTTAAACACAGTAAATAGAGCTAGCATGCACGGGGTGTGTAGTGTCTGCCTCCAGTGATTTTCCTGTGGTGTGAAATCTCGTGTGGTCTTGTGAATTTCGTGAGTCCAGCAACTAACCACTCCTACTAGATTGTATCAGGTCACCTCAACAAGAACAAATGAAGTTGTTGAATTTCGTACAGATCCTACATGATTTAATTACGTAAAATGTTTGTGTTCAAATTACAAGTTAGACTTTTTTAATATAACGACCACCCAATGTCCTTTTTTCGGTAAACCAAAAGAAGTAGAGGCGGCTGCTCGACTTGACTGAGATGGACGCCTTCCTCAAACCACGACCCAAAGCGCGCGAGACTGAAATCCCGTGCGAGATTTAACACTGCTATATTATTGACTTACTTCACTCGAACATGATATGAACAATTTAATCTACACTATATAGTTACACTTAACTTTAAAGCCCGAGGCACTTGTGTTAAAGACACGCTGCTTACATAAATCCAAGAGCCGGCCAATCCCTTTTTTCAGTGCGATTGGAAACTTGAAACACTTAAAGGGTCACATCCAGTGACCTCAGAGCCAATCAGAGATTTACAGCAGAGCAAGACCATGCAGTAAATTTTAGAGCAGACATGCACCTATGAATAAAAAATGAACTCAATACTAATGATGACATCTATGAAGAGTCCAAATATGATGATAAAATACTACTAATGCTGAGTTAGATAAGTGTGCTGTGAAAAATGAGTCGTATCTGTGCCTTCAAAGCACAAAATAAAACTTTGCTCACCAAGGTCCACGTAGAAATATATAGAAGCTAAACGAATTCTGATGCTGGCCTTCTTCATTCTTCGTTGTTCTTCAGCACATGGAGCTGGATTCGGCTGTCGGGCGTAGGCTGGTTCAGCTGTGTTTGTGTAGAGGGTGCAGGCAGGGAGCTACACGTGGGTTGGAGAGGTGGACCATTGTTCATATTCAAATAAACCTGGTTCTTTTTTAAAGGAATATTTTCATTTAAAATATGTTTTTAATTTTGATCAACAGAGATAGTTTCAGTGGTTTAGTCGGGATATGAGCAGTGCTTTCTCTACATGTTAGACTTCACGTTACAGTCAGCTACATTCTTTTCATGAATCACTTCTTTAACTCCCAAAGCTTAGTAAGAGACACAGCATCCATCATGTAAACTCTACACTTACACTTTCTGTGGGCTGCAGGAAGACATGAGGCTCTCTCTGTGTTCCTCATGAATCAGACGTGCTTCCTGTAACCCGATGACCTTTGAAACCTTTGGCAACATTTCTTCTGACACAGTACACATGTAATAAATCACTTTAGTTACTTTAACAATGGCAGCCTTGCAGAGCAAACAGCCTCCACACATAATACGTAATTATTATGAAACCAGTTATGCAGCTGTGACTGCTGTAATAGAGATGAAGTAGGTAGAGAATGACAAATGCAGCTGCAGCGTTAGCCTCGCTAAGAACTATTTTATCCAGCAGGAGTCTCAAACTCACACTGGTTTGATCCTCAGGGAGCCAGACACGTGGATCTATAATCTACTTCTTTAAGTGTAAAGAACTGTAAGTCTGTTCTAATATTTCAAAGCAGAACACAAACAGCAAAACAACCAAATGTCAACATTATTTCTTACCAAATGCACATTCAACCTAAGAGCAGCAACTTTGGCATACTGACTGTTTGGAGCTGTGTATATGTAGGAGATACAGTGCTGCACAGTTATATGTGACCTTTGCAGAATATAAGACTACATGTCAGTGCTGGTCCATTTCTAAATGTAACTTTAGGAAAAAAGAAATAGTCCATGTTGTGAAATCTCCGGCAGGTAGATATCTGTGCTCTTTAGCACACAATGAGCCGTGCAGATGGAGAAAGAGGCAGCTTACCTTTCAGACTGAATTTGATTTGTACATGGATCATTTATTCTTTGCTTCTGTTTGAGTGTTTTCAAACGTAGCCTTCCCTCTGGCTCCGCCCAGTATCTCCAAATAAATGCATTAATTCGGAGACGTCTTCATCTTGTTCTGAGACTTGTAAACATGTGTGTGTGCATGTCGAGCATCTTTGCAGCACCCCCTCGCTCTTTAATGCCGTGATGATGTGGACAATGTGCAGAATATTGAAGGTGCTCCAGACATCACAGTTTATTTTAGCTTCACCACATTTCCTTTCCTGAGCTGCTTCAGGCTCCTGCTGCGTGTTGCCTGTGCAAGCCTAAAGTCATCGTGACACACAAGACACATCCAGGTCAAACTCACAACGTAGCTCCACTTTTGGTTTCATTATATTCTTACATTTAAGAAAAGATGGCAGTCGTGCTCAGCAGAAAGAAGCAGCTCCCAGAATACTGTGACAGCAGCAGATGCTCACAAAGAATGTCGACTTCAACATAGAAAGTTTGTTTTTTAATGCAGATTTGATGTTATTTACCACCTCCACTGTTCTCCCAGCTCTGCGTTTCCTGTAGTAAACACTTCCTGTGCCCTTTGTGCTTCTATCTGTTATTTAGATCCGCTCAGACCGGGATAAGAACCGAATGCTGCGCTACAGTGTGACGGGACCTGGGGCTGACCAGCCTCCCACTGGGATCTTCATCATTAACCCCATCTCAGGCCAGCTGTCGGTCACCAAGCCTCTGGACAGAGAGCACATCTCCAATTTCCACGTAAGACTGTGGGCGTGCCAGCGAAGGTCAAAGACGGAGCAAATGATGAATGCTTTAGTGATCGGTGTGTTAGCTCCTCTGGCTGCATGTTAAACCGAGGTCTGTGGTTAATATGCGATACAAACGTCTGCAGCGTTGCGTCTCGGTTCCTTCTTCCTTGTTGCACTGAGCGTTCTTGCATGGTAGATATGTCATAGCGTTAGTGTGTGCTCTTCAAAGTGTTTTCTGTGGCCAGCCAAAGATGAGCTCTTTCTATTTAAGTAACTTTAAAAGTACTAAAAGTTTCACCTTAGATTACATAAAGTGCGGTTTAACACCAACCCTAACACTTAGGACCTGCCTCTGGAGGCATGAGTCTGCTCCCAGTCAGCACGCTGCTCTGTGTCGTCCCTCGCGTTTTCATGTTATATCTGTGCTGTCACTCTCTCCTGGATTTATTCTCTCTCATGCAGAGATGATGAAGACATTCCTTTAAAAAAGCCACTTGGTGTTTGCTTACTATATCTGCTACCGTCACAAACAGCTCCGAGAGCAGAGTCTAACCTTTTGATCTGTAGGAATGCACACACAACTCACACGGGGGAGTGGAAATCTGGAGTCGCAGCAGGTTGATTTGCATTTAAGCTGTGTGATGAATATTCATGTGATTGGATGTAGTTGTCAGAGCTAGGAGCTGGGATTGGCCTGCATGTTTATTCATGAGGGAGGCTTTGGCTCTTTGAGAGCCTCATACAGATGCACTGTAAAGGAATGACTTCTCAGGGCCAATCAATACCTATATTCAGCATCTTTGACCACATTATGCTGAATAAATACATCACATATGCACCTGATTTAAACTAAGGCCATCAAAAATAAAATAGATGTTTGATTTTCAAAGTGGGAGTATGTTCCTTGAAAAGTTGTTTTTCCAAAGTTTTGTGTTAGCTTTGATGGTTTTGATCTTTGAGCAGATTATTTAATATTAATTACAAAGCACTGTTTTGTAGCTTTTATGCTGAAACCTCCAGAGATGCATTCAACTACACAACAAATGGCATATAGCATGTTTTCTGCAGGTGCTGGTATAAACTTTAGGCTGCATACATGTTATTCTAAAGTAATCATTCCAGAGCATCTCCAAATTCTGCACAGTTTGGTCTTTGGCACATGTGCCGTGACCGACCAGTATTAGAATAATAAGCAGTTTAAGGGTCCTCTTTCAGTATATAGGTGGTCCACACCATGGCTGATCACCAAAGTCCAATTCCACTGATGTGTGTCATGACTGTGTTAGGCTACAGTGCCCGTACCCCGTCCTGCTTCAAGGGATAGTCTGGGCCGTGGTTTAGTTGAACTCACAGTGCGCTTGAACTGCAATAGCTATGTGCAGTCAAGCACAACTCGCTTCCTGAACCACAGCTGCCTCTGCTATAATCACTGTTAGCTATTTCATTCATTAATTGTTCTTTAAGGTATTCGAGAGGACCATATGATTCACACACTGGTGCAAAAAGTTTTGCCAAGATGAAACAACAAAATGCATTAAAATTGCCAGGAAAGGAGTATTTATGTAACAGGTGTACAAACTGTATTGTGCACAGCGCGGTTGGTGCAGCCTGGGCTGGAGGCACAAGTGCATGTGTGTGTACATGCATTTCTGAAATAAATCAGTTCATAAAAGTGAAATGTTTAGCAAAACAAAATGGTCACAATCACTTATTAAGAGTAGTGCTAGTGTAGTGTGAGTGTAAGTGTAGTCCGATGTAGTGCGAGTGTAGTGTGAGTGTAGTGTAAGTGAGGTGTGAGTGTAGTGTGAGTGTAGTGTGAGTGTAGTGTAAGTGTAGTGTAAGTGAGGTGTGAGTGTAGTGTGAGCGTAGTGTAAGTGGTGTGTGATTGTAGTGTGAGTGTAGTGTAAGTGAGGTGTGAGTGTAGTGTGAGTGTAGTGTAAGTGAGGTGTGAGTGTAGTGTGAGTGTAGTGTGAGTGTAGTGTGAGTGTAGTGTAAGTGAGAGTGTAGTGTGAGTGTAGTTTGAGAGTGTGTGTGAGAGTAGTGTGAGAGTGTAGTGTAGTGTGATGTAGTGTGAGTGTAGTGAGTGTAGTGTAAGTGTAGTGTGAGTAGTAAGTGTAGTGTGAGTGTAGTGTGAGCGTAGTGTAAGTGGAGTGTGATTGTAGTGTGAGTGTAGTGTGAGTGTAGTGTGAGTGTAGTTGAGTGTAGTGTAAGTGAGGTGAGTGTAGTGTGAGTGTGTGAGTGTAGTGTGAGAGTAGTGTGAGTGTAGTGTAAGTGTAGTGCGAGTGTAGTGCGAGTAGTGTAAGTGTAGTGTGAGTGTAGTGGAGTGTAGTGGAGTGTAGTGTGAGTGTAGTTAAGTGTAGTGTGAGTGAGGTGTGAGTGTAGTGCGAGTGTAGTGTGAGTGTAGTGCGAGTGTGAGTGTAGTGCGAGTGTAGTGTGAGTGTGTAGTGTAAGTGAGGTGTGAGAGTAGTGTGAGCGTAGTGTAAGTGTAGTGCGAATGTTGTGAGAGTGTGAGTGTAGTTTGAGTGTAGTGTAAGTGAGGTGTGATGTAGTGTGAAGTGTAGTGTAGTGGTAGTGTGAGTGTAGTGAGTGTAGTGTTATTGTATTGCGAGTGTGAGTGTAGTTTGAGTGTAGTGTAAGTGAAGTGTGAGAGTAGTGTAAGTGTAGTGTAAGTGTAGTGTGAGTGTAGTGCGTGTGAGTGTAGTGGAGTGTGTGAGTGTAGTTTGAGTGTAGTGTAAGTGAGGTGTGAGTGTAGTGTGAGTGTAGTGAGTGTGAGTGTAGTGTGAGTGTAGTGTAGTGTAGTGTGAGTGTAGTGCGAGTGTGAGTGTAATTGAGTGTAGTTTGAGTAGTAGTGTAAGTGTAGGTGTGAGATGTAGTGTGACTGTAGTGGAGTGTAGTGTGAGTGTAGTGTGAGTGTAGTTTGAGTGTAGTGTAAGTGAGGTGGAGTAGTGTGAGTGTAGTGTAGTGTGAGTGTAGTTGAGTGTGTGAGTGTAGTGTGAGTGTAGTTCGAGTGTGAGTGTAGTTTGAGAGTAGTGCGAGTGTAGTGAGAGTGTAGTGTGAGTGTAGTGTGAGTGTAGTGTGAGTGTAGTGCGAGTGTGAGTGTAGTTTGAGTGTAGTGTGACTGTAGTGAGAGTGCAGTGTAAGTGTAGTGCGAGTGTAGTGCGAGTGTAGTGTGAGTGAGGTGTGAGAGTAGTGTGAGTGTAGTGCGAGTGTAGTGCGAGTGTGAGTGTAGTTTGAGAGTAGTGCGAGTGTAGTGAGAGTGTAGTGTGAGTGTAGTGCGAGTGTGACTGTAGTGAGAGTGTAGTATGAGTGT